AAAATTTTATATATTTTCATAGTTAGAAAAAATATTTGCTCTTATGACAAGTATTAATTTTTATAAGTAAATTACAAAATTTATAATAATTAAATTTATATTTCTTAGCTTAAACTATAAAATGTATTAGAAACTATAAATTTAAAATTAATATTTAAAAAGTTTTTTTATAGATAAACTAAAATTTTTGCTTTAAAAATTATTTTTAAAATTATATATTTTTAGTTTATAAATAATCTAAATTTTTTTCTTATAATATAAAAATAAATACTGCAAAAATGTAATTCTTAATTTTAAATATAATTGTACAAAGCTTTATTTAATTATTTTGGGGTTTTAAAAAAGTAAATCAAAACTAAAAAAGTGCAAAAATGCAGGCAAATTTGTCTGTGTTTTATTATAATCTAAAGAATATATATACCTGATTTTGTTGGCAATACTAGATGGGTTAATGAATGATCTTGGTAGTTTGCTAGGTTTGTTATTTTCTATATACAAGAGAATTGTAATTTTACATATTAAATTACATAACAATCAGTGTTTTGATCATCTCTATATTATGTGTAACTTATAGTTATTTACTCAAAATTTAAACAAAAATAATGACAAGTTTTACTAGCTATTGAACAAATAAAACTATTCATACCAGTTTCTTTTTGATCTATATTTTATATTTTTAACAATTTTTGAAAAACCTCAAAGTTTGTAAGTAATCAACAATTTATGTTTTTAATTTATAATAACTAGTTATTTATAATAAGAATATATATATTGCTTGTTAAATAAAGATGATTAATAAAGTTTTTGAAATATTAATTTGACTAAAGTTGAGATTTGGATATAAACAAACCCAAGTTATAATAGTTTGGATTTGGGTGGCAAGCAGTATTAAATATCTGATGTTCTCAATGTTCTCAAGTATATTTAAAAAATATAAAAACATTGTATTAAAAAATATGTTCTCTTTTGAGAACCACCTAAGAAATAAAATTTATAATTTATGTTTACATATGATATATGGAAACTATATAATTTTTTTTTTACTATTAAAAACAATAAAATTTTTATAAAAACATAAAATCATCAATTTATGTTCTCAAAGAACCAAATAACTTTTCAGATCTTTAACACAGGTGGCAAGTATAAGTTTGTATAGTAAACTGGCAGTCAATATCAGTCATTAGCTAATGATCGAAGCAAATAGGAACTTACGTTCTCAATTTATGTTTGATACTGTAGTTTTTCTACTAAATATAGATATTATTTTTTCATTTCTAGAGCATTATGAAGAGCTAAAAATGTCATACCACTAAGAGAAACAGTGTAAAAGATGAAATCTCTAATTTCTTAGAAATTGAGCTATGCCTTAGGACATGTGATTTATGACGACCAAAGATCATTGAAATTTTGTTAGAATAATCTGGTATGATATGTACTGTCAGTATTTGTCAAAAGAAGCTATATCTAGTGAATCATTAAAGTCGATCTCTTCAAGCCTTTAAATGCTACTGTAAATAATTTACATCACTAAATATTATTAGTATTGTTTTTAATAATTAACGAACATTGAAATATATAATAATTAGATTTAGAATTATAAAAGTAACATTTATTAAAGTGACTTAATAATTTTATCGTAATATATTATCGATTTAATTATGATAAATTAATTTTATATGATCAAATTTATCTTTAAAGATGTTAAACCAATTTACTAAAGCTGATACATGTTTAATAGACAATATAAATCTCAAAAAAAAATTCGAAAAAATAAATGATTCTTAAAAAAAAATAAATCTCAAAAAGATAAATCTCAAAAAAAATAAATCTCGAAAAAAACAAATCTCAAAAAAAAATTTTTTTGAAAAGATGCAGACAGCTTAGAAGAAATATTTTAGATAAATATCAGTTGATAAGTTGATAAGTATTTTAAGTATAGGTATGTACATTCTTGATAGATGCGTTCGAAATTGGTCAATAAAGCCGATATTATTAATGACTAGAAAATTTTACTTAAGAGACAAAAATAGGTTGCCTTTGTACAAAATTACATGTTAAATTAAAAGTTTTAATATTAGTGAATAGCTACCTTTTTTTTTTATTAAATAGTTTTTCTCTCTAAGTAAACTTGTTTTAAGGTGGCATTAAGGCAACTTGTTAATAAATTAATATATAAATTAAGAGACATTGAAGTTTCAAAGTTTATACATAGTAATTTATATATATATAAATGTAATATATCATGTGATTAGTATTAAACATTTACAGTACGTTCTTAAAAAAATTCAGATAATTCAAAATATATACAGTCAAACCTCTCTATAGTCACACCTTCGGGATACAAAAAACCGTGATTATAAAGAGGTGTGACTAATATAGAGGTATTTTTTATATAGCTATAAATAATTGGTAAAAATAAATTTGTAATTATACAAATTTTGTGACTATAGAGGAGGTGACTATAGAGGGGGTTGACTGTACTAGTGATTCAATCATTTGTTGGAAATTCAACTAGTTGACAACAAGTTAACAAATTGATTGAAAAATTAATCGTTGATTGATTATCTACATAATAAAATTGAAAAGGTAAACTTTATTTAATTAAGTTAAATGTATCATAAACATGTGATAATTTGTTAAGCCAATCAAATTTATTAAACATGTGGCTATTAGTTTCAACTATGTAATTTAGTAGACAACTGGGACCAACATTCATGGGATATCTCGGAACTTGCTAGTGCAATCGCATTTGGTGTTGACGTCTTTCATAAAACTCGCCATCATCTAACACTGATGTTTTACTGCGATAGTCGAAAAATATTTTTAACATTTCGCGTCCAGCATCAGGAAACAGTTCCTGAGTATCCTGACTATTTGTGACAGGTTTATTCTCGTTGTTTCTGTGCGTGTTCCGCGAAATTAAACTCAATCATTATTGGACATTAAGTGATAAAATTACATGACGACTAAATTCAGCAATACATACACTACTTTAATATGCCTCAGTTGGCCATTGGGGATATCTTTAATGAAAATCCATTTAACCTTAAATTCACCCTTATATTTATCTTGTGACCAAATATCACCATTTGCTGTATAATCCACTGAACTAACCATTTCTGCAATACCACAGAAATGTCCACTGGATACGAATAAGCAACAAATTTTAATAATTCTAAATAATGAAATATATCAATAATCAAATAAATTGTCAAATAAATTGCACATTAATTCACCTGGCGTTGACACTAAAAAACAAATAAATTGGCCCTTTATCAGCATTATCACGAAATGCTTTATCCAGACGACGATTACCAATTACTGTGCTGCGCCAAATGCCATACTAATAACGATAAAAATCATAATATATTAGACAAACCACACTTTATTGTAAAATTTGACATAGTGAACATACTTTTATTGATATATAAACATCATCTTCGGTATAAGATTTCACTACGAAAAATCGTGCCTACATTAAATTATAGTGATTAAAGATTATTCACAGAATATCTGTGTTAAAGAAAGTATGCATGTAAAATAGCGCTTACGTGCGATGGCTTGCAGTCAAATTTATCTGGGTTATATTTAGCTGTATCTTGGGCTGAAAAAGTGGAAATAGGTTCCATGCTGATTGGTGTTATAGGCCCTGCATTTAAATCTGGATCATTATGACGAGCATCAATAGGAGCAGATATCGACACATCTACATATGTTGACATAGGTGTAACAGCCGTAGAAGATGATTGAAATCTTGGAGAAGCTGCGTAAAAGGCATTTAGGGATGCTGCTTGTCTTAATGTTCGAACGGTTTTATCAGGATAAATATCTGATGCAGTTGAAACAGCTGTGGATGATGGAGTCTTTTTGTAAATAGCACTTTGAGATGTTAATAGTTTTGATGCTTGAACAGTTTTATCAGAATAAACATCTGATGCAGGTGAAACAGCGGTAGAGGACGATGGAAACTTGGTGGTTTTTTTGTTAATTGATTTTCTTGAAGCTTAAACGTTAGAAATATCAAAATTTTTCAAAATTTGTGTGTAAATTTAATAGACATAAGATCTATTTTTAATTTTTTTTTGGCATTTTGATAATTTAAACAGAATATGCTGATTTATTAAGTTAATAAGGTAATATATCACACTTACCATTTAAAATTGTGTCATTTCCTGATGGCATTGCAACATCAGAAATTACTCGTAATGAAGATTTTTTCATAATATCGACCCACAAATCAGGTTCGAAGATCCGATGATATGGACATAATTTCTCCACAATATCATCACCAGTAATTTGAAAGTACCGGATATGGGGTAAACAATTTTTGAGAATAGTTTTTAAAATTAAAAATTTTTCATCAGACCATTGCGCAGGGTTAGAATTAAGTTCGGAGCTTTGGGCCAATCCCCATCTAATGACTTGTTCCCAAAGTTTTCCTTCATCCATTTGTAAGTTATCAAGTTTCAAGAGAGAAACCAAAGCATTTTCTGAAAGGGTTAAGAAATCACTAGAATCAAATAGAATATCCGGATTTTTAACGATAGCATTATTACAAAACTGTTGCAAAACTTCAAAATTATCCGTTTCAAAACTTATTTTATGAATGTAATGGAAATTTTGATATATCCAGGAAGCATGTTCTTTAACCAATTTTGATTGTAAACGATTAGTCAACTCTTCAAGACCAAATTCATTAGCAGCAGTTAAAAGATCAAAAAGTGTAGACTCATCAATTTCATCAAATGTAACAATACCACCGTAAATATACCTACATAATTAAAAGGGAATAATATTTAAATTTTTTTTTTTACTGAACCGAAAATATAATTCAACAATAGAATACTCATAACCTAATAATGATTTCAAAATTGGCAACAGAAATATGTGGATTGTTGAATTTTTTAATATTATCTGTTTTGTTACGAATAACCAATTTATCACGAAAATAAGAACATCGAGAATTCAGGATAATTGAATGGGCCTTAAAAGTTTGTTGATTCGGTGTTTGCCCAACTTTAATTAATACGTCATGATCTTCTCCAGTTTCGAGAAGATTTATTAAATCGTTAGAAAGTTTTTTGTTACTATTCAGGGTTTTTACTTGATTAATCATTAGCATTAGGTAACCAGTGTTGTACATTTTTTGATATTCTGTCCAAAATTAGGGGACGTCTAAAGCCATGTCCAGTCACGTGTTTTTTATTTTTTAATTAAAGTTAGGGTAAGTTTAGTTTGGGGTTAGGGTCAGGGCATATCTTATAGTAAAATTGTCCTCCCGACATTTTTTATTAATGCACCAAGATGGGTTTAGACTATCGTTTCTTGTATTTTTTGTGATTTTCACTTTTTTTTCGTTGTTTTTGTCTCTTCGGGCTGATCCGTGTCGATCAAAATAAACAATTCTATTGGCTGTAAGTCACGGGATGGACACGGCTTTAGACGACCCCCAAAATTAGAAGTCTGAAGCTATGTGCGATATAATGATTGGTTAGAAAAAAATCCCAGGCATGTGATTTATGTGGCTTATCAGATTTTTTAATTTTTACTCTTTTAAGCAAAGCCGTCCTAGTACGTCACATTATTTTCGATTTTTTATCTTGTATGACCGGAAAAAATTTTAAGTTCGTTTACTTTAGGGTTAGGGCGATGCCTGGGATTTTAGTAAGGTATTATATATATACAAGGAAATTTTTTTGTTAGAGGATAAAAGGCGGTTTCTTATGCAAATTTCGAGAAACAGGCGATTTTTTAAAAATGAACGAATTTTTCTGATCGTGTTACGTTACGTAATATTGTGACTTATTATTGGCTGATCGTGTCGGTTACGTTGGGACTTTTCGTCCTAGTATTGCCCATAAACTAGGAACCGGAAACCGGTTTAAGTCCGGAGCTCATTATTTTCATCTTACATATAGACACGCGGCGTTACAGACGGAAAATGCCGAAACTACTTTTTTGATCTTTTTATTATAGATGCATCAAAATCGTAATTTCAGTCATCAAAGCGCATAGAAGTATGAGTCCTCCGCTTCGCTCCGGACAAAAATGTAGTGATGTCATCATCGACATACGTTACGTATATGAAATTTTTAAGTTCCATAATTTAGCGATTTTTTTATTTATTTTTTTTTATTAAAATATTGTAACTTTTATAAGCATTTAGATATAAAATTTTTTTTTTAATTACACATGTTCATCTGTTGAATATTAAATGCACATACAAAAAAAAAATCAAAAGTTGAATTATGAGAACCAATACATTGTATTGTGATTTAAATACGATTTTCAAGTTTTTTTTATGCCTTCAACCATGGTTTCTAAAGCTTTAAATTTGAACGGACTGATTTTATTTAGATATTATGATTAGGTTTATCACTTATAAAATACTACAAGGTCTTAGACGACCTCTTGATATAGCGATGGATGTACGTTTTAATTGAGAAACTGTTATAACGACAAGCCACATATATCAAATCAGGTGAAAATGAAAATCAATTCAACAAAATAGAAAGTCCATGCCAGTATGAATAAATTTTATACATAAATCATATTTTTCACCTGTGTAGATCCAATCAAATTTCTTGAGATAAAAATTTGATTGGATCCGCACACATGAAAAATATGTACGTACGTATCAAATGTTTAAAAGCCACGATAATAAATATTAGTTTTATCTTTTTATCTAGAATAATCCCTTGACCATGCAACGTCCAATTTACATTCTTCTTATTGTTGATTGAAAAGTATATATTTTTTAAACACATGCATGTGTCAATAGGCAAAAAGCCTCATACAGTGTATAAATATAGAAATCCCAAGCAAAGTCACAAAATATTTTATCCAATCAGACGCTAAAGAGTTGCAATTTTAACTTGCTTGGAAACCATACTCTATGTATTTCGTAATCCGTTCCTGATATATCCGGATATCGATCAAAAAAATGAATAAATATCCGGTGTTACCATTGGTTTTGGGAGAACATCGTGTGTAGACTCCAATAGTAAACTGGGATATGTTTGATTTTGGGTTATGGTCACACTTTTATGGGAATCTGGATGAACTCAAGATTCAGGCAAGAATTGTACGTTTATGACAAACGGCATTTAGAAGAGCAGTACCTGAATTAGGGACGAGTTATGAGAATTCTCTTTATTAGCAGAATGTTCAAAGGATATCCACCACCACCTTCTTCTTACTTTAAAATCGGAGGGCCATAATTTATATACATTGTGCCTCAGATTAACACTTGAATGAGATTGCAGCTAGCCGGTGCGGCTTGCTTCACCGACACTCAACTCACCGACATCTTAGTTCACCGACATTTAATTCACCGACAAGTTCATTTACCGACAGTTTATTTTACCGACAGCTCATTTCACAGACAAAGTAATTCTGGTCATCGTCGTTAGGGCCAGGCCAGAATTAGAGTTAAGGTTAGTGTAAACTTGTCGGTAAAAGGAACTTGTCGGTAAATTAATTGTCGGTGAATTAAATGTCGGTGAACTAAGATGTCGGTGAAGTGATTGTCGGTGAAATGATACGGACCCGCAGCTAGCGCACCTCAGATGGCTATCAGATGACCAGCATTAAACGAACTGCAATAATTGGCCTAAATTATATCGTAATTTTTTCTCTAACCCTAATCCTAACTCAGGCAGGCGTCATCTAACGCAAGGACACATCTGAGGCACACTTGTAAGGATCATTGAAGAAACATTGTATTGTATAACCTAGTTGCGTCTCTCTCAATGACATTGTCCTCCGACAACACCAACCATTATCCGACCATTAGCCCGATAGAATCACTTCTTAGAAAGAGTACAGCGATAATTAATAAATGACTAAATCTAGTAAATTAATACAAAATCTGTACGTACATAGTACTGATAACCATATCGGAAAATCTATAAATCTAGACTAACATTTCTAAAAAAAGTACAAGGCCGATTTACATTATTGCGTCCAAATTTCACGTATCACATTGGGAATCAAAAATTTAAAATAAATATAAATCTGTGATTGGTTAGAAATAATTTTTAGCCAATCATGAATTTGCACTTATTTTAGATTTCTGATACCTGGTGTGATACGTGGAACTTACTGATCACAATAATTTGAAAAGCGCAATAATGTTATGAATTGATTGTAACACCGGGTACTATATTTAGGAATATATCATTTGAACAGTAATAAATTCATAAAGTTAAACCTTCGGGTACTATTCAAGAATCAAACCAGGATGGTGATGAATAATACCCGGGGCAGGGATGTCACGGGACAGCCTTTGAAATTTTAAATATTAAAATTACTCAAAATTTTATTAAGATAACCTATTTCAACCTTCTAAGTAAAAATGGTTAGAATTTTAATTATCAAAACTTAGATGAGCTTTGGACACTTGGTGTTTGACGTTGGACATGCCAAAAAAGATTTTGGACATCAAAAATGTACATCTCTGCCTGGGGTATTATTTTGGGGATACTGTACGCAGCGGTGAATGGTAATATTTATGCCCTAAGTTAAAGCTGTTCGGAATAATAAATTGTACATATTCTGAAATTGTTATGTAAACTGAATAATTCACTTCGCACATTACGTTTATATAAAAAATTTTTAAATTTTTTCGTGTAAACGTACTATGCGAAAGCAATTAATAAAAAGGAATTTAAATTTCAAAATACACGCAATCTATTATCCCGAACAACTTTACTTAAGGCATTAATTTTAATTGACTTAGTAAAATTTTAATTTTAGAAAATAAAGTTCGATAACTTTTTATATGAGTAATTCAACCAACAAAATTACTTTATATACAAATGACCCAAATGACCTGGTCATTATTTGATGACTTGGGGTCATTAAATTTTGATCAAATGACCAGGTCATTTACCATCCCTGGTATCAGTCCAGTCTCTGTACTAAAAACGGACCCAACCCATAACCATCTTGTTGGCTGGCGAGGAGGACGTACGCATGTAGTCGGAATAGGTGGGCACAATATTCACGTGATAAATCCAGCCGTAGTTGTGCATATAACGATAAGCCCCCTAACCTTAAATCTAACGCTAATTCTGGTCATTATTGTGCATATAAGCAACTACAATGTTGTGTCCGCAGCTTTCCCTATCGAAATAAGCGATAACCTGCCGCAGTGTTTTTAATAATGTTAGTTAAATGTT